TGCCCGGGATCGCCGGGGGGTCCCGGGAGCTACCCCGAGATCCCCAGGATCGAGGGCTCCGGGATCGGGAGCTGCCGGGATTGGGATCCCAGAGATCCTCAGGATCGCGAGCTCCCGGGATTGGGATCCTCTGGGGCTGTCTGGGATCAGGTGTCCTGGGACTGCAAGACCTTCCTCCCCCAGGATGGGGATCCATAGGTCTCCTCTGAGAGTGGGCGCCTTGGGTTCTCCTGGCATTTCTTGGGGTCCCTCAGAGATCTCCACAACCCAGTGTCCCAGGAGCCCAGGAACAGATTCTCCTGGGATTGGGATTCTCTGGAGCTCCCTGGGATCGGATGTCTTGGGACCCCGGGATCTCCCAGAATCAGGATCCCTAGGAGCCACCAGCATTGGGATCCCCTAGAGCTGCCTGGGTTCAGGTGCCCTGTGGCCCCATCCATCAGGATGCCCAGGAGCCCTTTGAGATCAAGCGTGTCGGGATCCCCTGGAGTCTCCCATGCTGGGAGCCTCGGGATCCCCTGGAGCTCCCCAGGATCAGATGCCCCGTGATCCCGTGGTGCTGGGATCCCCCGGAGGGCTCCCGTGCACACAGAGCCACGGGAGCTGCAGCGCCGTCCCGCAGGGTGCTCCGTGGGAGCCGCCAGCCTGGGGCTCCCTGCCCTGCGCGGGCCGGGGACGCTCCAGCCCAGCCATTTCCCTCTGCGTGCAGAGGAGAAGCCATGAGACTGTGAACAAAAACCCATCTGTTTCCCCAGATCACATGGCAAAACGTTCCCAAGGAGCCTGTGGGGGAGCAGGGCTTCCAGCACTTGTTCTCAGTCTATGCAGGATAAGTGATAAGTTCCCATGATGTGATTTACACAGTTCAAGCCCTCTGGTGTTTCCTCCTCACTAACTTCTGTTAACTTTCCTGATCCCTCCTTCAGCTGTCTGAGCTCAGAACGAGCAAGCGTGGCCCAAGCGAAGGGAGATGGTGAACCAGAAGACGGGCCGTGGCTTGGCTCCACGACGTGGTCTGCCAAGTTACAGACCTGTTGCTTTAAGCTTTGTGGCCCATTCCACCCATCCCATGGGCTAGGAACAACCTGTGCTCCCTCAAGAAGGAATACGTGCTCCGGGAAGATACAGGGCTGGTCCATATTGATAGCGCCCGGGCCAAGCCCCTGGACCTGCCCTGTGCGAGTCACAGTGAAGCTCTGTGATCATCCCTGGCACTGTTTTCCCCACGTGCACCATGGCCAGAGCAGAGTGGGGGTATCGCTCTCCCTTTTCAGTCCTGTGTCTGTTTTTTGGCTCCCAAGTGCTGCAGCTGAATGCTGAAAAGCCAAATGGGCTCTTTAGTTTCTAGAGCTGTGACAGGGAAGCGCTGTACAACTCCCTGCAAGGGTTTGGCTGCTGTTCTGAGTTCAGGAAGCATCCCTATGATAGCATAGCTCTTATCCAAGGTCTTCATTCCCTGAAATCAGGGAGAGTCAAGTACTTGCTTGGTGAAACACATCTAACCCATCCCTCGTGAGCAGGGAGAACTCAGCATGGACGGAGCGGGTGAGTTAAGGGAGAGGGAATGACCCTAACGCTGTTCTCCAGAGGAGAAGGCTGTTTACTGCTCAGTTTGAATAGCAGGGTAGGACGCATGCTCCCGAGGAGCTGGTTTTATTCTGCTCTTGGAAAGCTGGGCCTCACGGCTTTGGCTTGGTGTCAGGGCAAGCAGTCAGCTCGCCTCTGAAACCAGCCCTTGTAGCCCGCCTGGGAGCTGCAGGATCTCCTGCAGCTTCCGAAACCGCTGATTCGATCGCAGCGGCAGTATTTGCTTTTTAAGGATTGATTTAAGAACAGATTTTGGCATGTCAGCTATGCCCAGTCCCGAGTGGGAGGCGTGAAGGAGCGTGGCCTTGTTCACTGCGTGCAGATCGGCCTCAGTCCTGGGCAGCGTGACCAGAATGAGGAGGCAGGTCGGTGCCAGCCTGTGCCCCGGTCCTCTGGGACGGTGTCTGTGGCAGCTCGCTCAGCGTGGGCTCTGTGGGGCGAGGGAGGCCACTGCGCTTGTGTCCTGGCCGGGCTCCTGGCGGTGCTGCCAGCGTTTCCTGCGTCACTCGCAGGGCTCGGCCAGCGGGAGGGTCGGGATACGTTAGCCTTGGTGGCGGCTGTGCACAACCACCTCTGCGTGTGCATCCTGTCCCTGGGGATGACGCCGGTCTGGGTGCCAGCCCGTTGGCGGAGGGCTGGCAGGCAGGACAGGCGGAGGGAGAAGGTGCTCCGAAAATGTGGAGGCCCCTCTCCCGGGAGCCTGAGCATGGAGCAAAGCCAGACCTGATGGGACAGCCGGAGCAGCGTGGGAGCCCGGGCCGGTCGTGGTGCTCAGGTGTCACATGCGTCCCTGGTGAGGGAGCCCATGCGTGCGTAGAGGTGTAACCGAGCCAAGGCGAAGCTCGCCCGAGTCCGAGCCTCTCCGAGCCTGCCTTGCAGAGCCACACAGCACAGGCACGGGGTCCTGCAGAGCCACACGGCACAGCACCGGGGTCCTGCAGAGCCACACGGCGCAGGCACGGGGTCCTGCAAAGCCTCCTGCTCCTGGCACAAGCAGGGGCCTGGCACGGCGCTGCTGGCACCCGCTCCCTGCAGGGCTTGGCATGCTCTGTGCAGCGTTCTCAGCCCCCTCCTTTGGGCATTGCAGAGCTGGGCAAACAAGATAAAAAGGAAACCTGTTAGCGTAAATGAGAAAACAAGGTGTTACTTGCAGGGTTTTTTAGAACTGGCTGTTCCAGCCTAATCATGCACCCAGCAGACTTCTTGGCCAGCATCTACTAAGCAGTTTGCTGCCTTATTTTAATTCAAGCAGCATAATATTGTGTAAGGCAGAATGTCACACCAGTGACTGGGTCGCTGCCCCGCGAGTTCATTAAGAGCCAGGGTGATTGCACAGCTCTCTCAGAGCTGCAGGGTACCTGGCTTCATCCCTCCGTCTCCTTTTGCAAAGCACTGAATCAGGACTTACTTCAGCTGCTGTGACACACAGCTGCATTTACTGACCTCAGGGTCAGGAGACAAGCTGTGCAGTAAGACCTGTACACACTGAGCTATGGTTTGCATAGAAATGATGCAATTCCCAGGCAGAAATTTTTAAGTGCTGGGGCCAGGCTTTGTATTAGCCTCTAGAAGCTCCTGAGAGTTACGAGCTGGTCTGTCATAAACCGCAGGGATTACAGCTAATTGCAGCACAGTGTTGGGATCAGAGGCCTGGCACCAGACACAAGTCCTGTTTCCATCTGGTTGCTGGCCATAACAAGCTGTGCATATTTCTGCCTTTCTCTGTGCCTCAGTTTCCTCATCTGCAAAATGGGATGAGTAATATTCACCTGCTTTGTAAAGCCTATGAAATCCACTGATGGCAAGTGCTGGGCAATAGCAAGGTGACAATATTGTTAAAGCTACAGCCATAATGTAATGTTGACTTCTAGCATCCACTCTTCATTGGTTAATCCTTAATTTTTAATTAAGTACATTTGGAAGTTCACAGCAGCAGCTGGGTTAAGGTCCAGTCCTATCCTATTCGTTTAAGTTGCCTGATATAAATGGATGTTTTTCCTCATGGTGATTTATAGGGTGCACAGTGTAGTAAAGATGAGCTATATAAAGCAGGAACGATCTTCACAATAACATGACCTGCAGGTTGGCATCTGTGTGGTCTCTGGAGGCTGGCACATACCCACGGCTCTTTCAGACCTTGCTCACATGGCATCATGTCCATCTCCCCCTCAGGAAACGTGGGCTGTGCCAACATCTCTCGAGTAGGAGCCAGGCTTGCGAGGCTGGTGTTTGTCAGAACACAATGAATGGGGCTTCTCTTGTGAAAGCTTCCAGGGCTAGAGAGGTTGCTCCCTGGACAGGATTTCCTTCTCCACTTTGCAGGGGGACAGGCTGTCCCTGAGCTGCTGCATTTGGCCTCTGTCCAACGCAGCACGTCCACACTGTGACCTGGAGCAGCGGCTCCCCCTCATGCGGTCTCCTGTCCTCTCCTTTCCAGATGGGGCATCCTCTTCTCTCACCCCCGGGACTTCACACCCGTGTGCACCACGGAGCTGGGCCAGGCTGCGAAGCTCGCGCCGGAGTTCAGCAAGCGCAACGTGAAGATGATCGCCCTCTCCATCGACAGCGTCGAAGACCACCTCGGCTGGAGCAAGGTACAGGGCACGGGGAGGCCGGAGGAGCGTTACTTACACCAAAGACCAGAGGAAAGACCCACAAGAGATGAGCACAGGCAGGGGATTAAACATCTTCTGAGGTCTACAAGGTACTTGTATCCCAAAGCGTGTAGGATAGGGGATGCTAAAATTCAAAACAGGAACAGTAGAGAGGTCTGCACAGATACCCCAGTTTTTGGAGCAGCCCAAAAGTTGGCTCAGGCACATGTGTTTCTCTCTGTGCAGCTAACAGGTCTAGGAAATAAGACAAAGGAATGCTCCTGGCCATGCTCCTGTGACAGACACTGTGGAAACTCACTGGGGTTTAAACACCAAGACACACTAGTTAGGACTGGTTTACAGTTAAACGAGCCCAGTGTGTCAGCACAGTACAGCAAACCCCCCCATGCACTGACACTTTGCAACAAGAAGAAAGCACTAAAATGGCTCCCCTTCAAGCACCAACAAGGGTAAAACACGTGCAGAGTGTATGAGGCAGTGCCAGTAGCTCAGAGGAAGGTAGTCAGTCCACAGACCCTAAAAAAGCCCTGCAGTAAAACAGGAAAGTAAAGGCATGAGAACTGAATAGCTTCAAAGGGTGCAGTTCATGTCCAGGCAGGGAAGAGAGAAAACAAAGAATAAACGGGCATGTTGGGCACATTAAACATAGAACCACAAGGAGGAGCATGTTAAATATGAAACCACAGTAAAGGGAAAGGAAAAAAAAACTTGGTAAAGGAACAAAAAGGAGACTGATGAAAACCTTAAAATGGAACCTCAGCAACGGTGTGCTGCCAGGGAGCCTCGCTGCAGCACTGGCAGGTGACAGGGATGCAAGATGAGCATTTCATGAAGTCAGAGTACAAAAAAAAAAAAGGTGAGTAGGTGAGTTATCAGCCTCTTGGTTAACTCCTGAACCTGGGACATTTTCACGTGATTTGGAGGGGGCTGGTGATGCTTGTGTGCATTGAGAGGGGTGGGAAAGATGAGCAACTTCCCCACTCAGACGTTAGTTCATGTTTGAGAGTTGATGTTTGACTTGCTGTTAGAAATTGCCTAGTCACTCCCCATTGCTTAAATTGGCCTTCGTACCTGAATGGAGCATGGCAGATGTGATGCCAAAACTACCAGCTGAGTTAGCAGATGAGCTTCATTAAGCATAACAGAAAGTTTTGATTTGGGTTTTGTAAGGCAGCTGCATCTCCCAGTTTGTCAGAGCTTTGGAAGGGCCGTAGGGATGTTGCTGACTATAAAATCATTGAATTTCCAGGAATCTTGAATGAAATGCACTGTGAAAGGGAAGGCTGTCTTGTCCATTCTTGTGAGACAGGAAGAAGCGATAAGCATGTTGAGGGAGGGAAGGCAGCATCGAGCTCCCCGAGGCTCTGCAGGGAGGCGAATGGTTGAGCATACTCAGATGATCTGGAAAAGAGGTGAATAACGAGCTGAGTTTGCTGATGCTACGGGATTATTCAGCGTGGCCTCAGGTAAAACCAGGAGTTGCTAAACAGCTTCCAAGTGTTGACCGATGGGAGACAGAACAGCAGGTTTGGAAAAGCTTCCAGGACAACTGCAGAGGAAGGCGGAGAGCAGCAACGTGAGCTGTGCATCACTGGGTGAACTTTGCATCGAGGTAGGGAGAGGCCTTGGAGACAGAGGTTTAGAAATGTCGCCTCTGGATCTATGAAAAGGAGACCTGTTAAACGCAGCTAGAGCAAGTGTTCAAATCCGTGTGGATAAATCTGTAGCTTATTTGACTCTCTAATGCAGCCTGTGTTTGAAATTGCCCATCTCACAGACTACAGGGGAACAAGAAAAGGTTTAGATGCAGCATGCAGACAGAGCGGGGAAAACGCTGCTCAGAGGTTTGGAATAGGCGAATGCCATTTGTTAACATCATTGCACGTGTTTGAAAAGCTAGGAGAGGTCCTCGACAAAGCGGAGAGGAACTTGAAATAACACAGAGAGGCAAAGAGAAAAACTAGGAAGGCAGCTGGTAAGGCCTGCTGGAAGTCTGAGACCACGGCCAGTGCTCTAAGGGTTCTCCTGCCTAACCACAGAGAAAGAGAGAACTGAGATATACCAAGACCTAGCAGCAGATACTTGTCTGGACAAGAGAAGTCAGCATTAAATGTTAGGCTGAGATGGAAAAACTGCAGCTTCTTTCCTTAAATTTCAACCTAGACAGAAGTCCTAGAGACAAGCAAAGCTTTTTGCAGTTAGATTTCTGCGTGACCTTTCTCTCCATGGCCATGCTTTCTCTTTGGATGAAGCTACAGACAGCACTGAGAGGAAGAAGCTGTCTTCATCCAGAGCACTGCTGCAAGAGAGCAAATGGGCAGCATGGAATGGGCAGCTAAAACTCTGCATGAATCAACAGAGAAACCTCTGCTTAACCAGGGCATCTGCACCAGGCAGGGACACCTGCTCCGTGGCACGTAGAGTCATTCTCCTGTGAGCCCAGCAGTCGCTGCAGGGGTGATTGGCATGTGCTGCTCATGTCAGGGGAGGTTTCAGTGCTCTCTTCAGTCACCAGTGCCTTAGTCTTGATGAGTCAGGGGTGAATAAATCTGTCTTACAGTGTCTGGTTTCAGCTTGCACTCTGGAAAGAAAAATAGATCATAGGGAAGTGAATGACCCTGAGTGTCCTCTTGCACAAGAGGGAGGGTTTATGACGCTGTTTTGTGTGGAGATTCTCTGGTGATGTACGTGCGTTTTGGAACGAGTTATCATCAGCAGGATTTGATTACTGCTTTTCAGAAGTGCTTTCCATCATACAGCAGATTTTCATGCCAAGGACTTGTCTCCCCTTTCTCACCTTTCAGTGTGCTGTCAAGAGTGCTGCAGCAGTAAAGGTTAGTGCTGGGCAACTTGAACTGCTCTATGCAGAGGAGATTTTTCAGATAGCCCTGTGCCTTGTGATACAGAAATCCAGAAGATGAATTCTTGGAGGGCAGAGCTGCTGATACAGTGCTAAACACCCATGGAGGAAACCTTTATTCCTTTAAATCTTGGCTGATGATTTTCTTTGCAGGGTTAGTGTGCTGGTAAGCTGTCTGGCTCTGGGAAGGAGCAAGACTTCTGCTCTGGGCAGGACATGTAGCATGTTGGATTCTTCTCTCTTGTGTAACTGAAGGGCAGTAGATGTTGTTGCAAACAGTTGAACCGAGATTGCCAAACACTTTTTTTTTTTTAATCCTGACCAGACTCAAACTGTGCAGGCCCAGGTAGAAGTCCATAGGAGCTCTTTTTTACTCATTAAACCGCTCTCCTTCTGGGGCCTGTAAGAACAGTTTTGTAGTAAGTCTCAGGACTTTCGAAGTGTGCAGTATAGCACTTTGCTGCTGAACTGCAAAAAAACAGTCAAAAGTCCTGGTGTCCTGTCCTGGTACAGAATTTCTTCTTGCAGCTCTTCAAGTAGGTGAGTTATGAGAAACAAAGTCAGAAAACGTGAGAGCACATCCCAGAGATGCTCTGCTCACAGGGTTCAAGCCAGCAGACACAGGACGGCAGGCACAAACTGGCCAACACTGGTAGGGAAGGAGGGGCAAAAGCAAAGGAAGGTTGGATTATCTTGGAAGGACAAGAAACTGATGCAGCTTGAGGTAGAGAGTGACTTCTGCTCCTGCAAGACTTGATCTGTTCACTGAGTGTTGAAGAGCCTCCTATGCTTGTTCCAGCAGCTGAATCTCACTCCTTCAAGAGGCTGGTATAGAAAGAGGTACCTCCCATGCTGTGATGCTGGAGTCACTTGCTTCTGCCTCTGCTCTCTGCTTTGTTGAGCACAAGATAGGATTGACCCTCATTAAAATTCCTAAGTTGCAATAGAGGTCTGTGTGTGAACCTTGTGCTGCAGGGGAGGTCAGAGACCTCCTGGGGATGTGGAAAGAGCAAGAGAGCAGACGATGTCTCAGCATCAGCCAAGGTTCTCTGCCCTCCTAAGGCATTTTTCAGTGCTCAAGGCAGGGTGAGGGAGTGTCCAGCTCCTGTCTCCAGTGCCCAGCTGGCTGGCCCTGTGGCTACCAGGAAGGTGCTGTTGGTTGAGGCAAGCAGGAACACACTGCTGCTCTCAGCTG